TTTCTATAAAATGTATGTTCTGTTGTTTTGTTTGAATTCTATAGAGGTCTTAATTTCATAATAGATACATTCTTAATGAATTTCATATTTCTCAACGAATTTAGTATAATTATTTTTAACAAAGTTAAAAATCGTTTATGATTATTTCTTACATTACGATTATTTTTTATACAGACTGCTTTTACAGATCATACAGACTGCTGACTTTTATATTATGATTATTTTTATACAGACTGCTCACAGCATAGCACGAGACCAGCTGTCATTGTTAGGGATGCCGCAAGTCGAAAAAAAACTATCGATATATCGATATTTATAAAAATATCAATATCGGTCTCGATATATCGAAAAAATATACCGTTATATCGGTTATATTTTTAGTTTAAAAAAATAATTAATTAAATCCAGTGTGATTCAATATTAAGTAATAGTATTTGAGAAATTTCAATAAAACGCTAATAACTTGATAATTTTAATCGAATTTCTTTTATTAATCTAAATTTCTCGGTATGATATTTATCAAAACCTTCATATCTGGTCATAGTCATAGTCAGGGTCTGGCACCTGGCTGGCGGCACTGTGGTATATATGTGATATATGTTATAGCCAGTTATCAAAGAAAACCAAAATAACATAGAAGTGAGAACTATTTAATTATGTCTAGTCGCGTACTAATGTAGTTGATAATACAGTCAGAAAACAATTGGTATGATACAAAATGATTGGTTTGTTCTGTCTTCTAATTTCAACTTTGATTTTGTTTATTGTGCTAAAAAGTTCTGCAGAGGAATACAACCTTTTTGGAGAAGCGGGCCAAGCTTATGCTATTGAAATACAAATTGGGCATCCTTACCAAAAGGTAATGTGTGTACTCATATAATGTTCTTAATAATTACATGTAAAGTTATATGTAAACTATTTAATAATAAAATAAATTATTATTCTGTTTCAGTTAAATGTGATTGTTGATACGGGAAGTGCTACATTAGCAATTGCTTCATATCCAAGACCTGATAATGACCAATATTTTTATGCTGACAACTCATCTAGCATTTATGAAAGTGGGCAAGAGGTATACACATTACTTTATTGTATCATTTGCTCTGACTGTATAGTTTTTTTATTGAAATGCTTAACCAAAACACACTTGACAAGAAGTTTCCTTTTTCTATGAAATTATTAATATTGACAATATGTGGTAATTATTATATAGTTGTTGTAATTGAAGTACATCTTATTTTTAATAGTCATTTTATCCAAAAAAATTATGTATCCTGATATAACATAATTATGATAATGTGCTAAGGAGTGTGTGAGTTTAGGAATTTCTTTAAAATTTTTTACCACCTGCAACCCGTGTGGGTATTTTAAGTGCTATTATTATGTTGTATCACTATATATGTTGTATTTTAAGGTTCAAGCCAAGTATTCCCAAGGTATGTGGGTCGGAAAACTTGTATCTGACTATGTTTCCTTCCCTTCACTGTCCACTGTAAAAGAAGTAAGAAGTGATATTGCTCTCATTACGAAAAGTCACAATTTTTTTATGAATGGATCTGGATGGCAGGTTAGCAACTTTTTATTCCTTATTATGTAAATAAATAAAATAAATAAAACAAGATTCAGACTACATGTTTTTAATCAGTAGTAATTGTTTTCAAAAGCATAACAAGATATTTGCGCCACATTAAGGTTTTGAGGAAAAAAAAAATATTATAGTATTAGTATATGTATGTTATAAAAAATATGTAGTATTAATGATGTAGGGCTCTTTAATCTAATTATAAACATGACCATGATAACCTATGAGTTTAATATTAATAAAATATACTTTTATAAATAATGATGTTTTTAAGTATCCTGTATCACCATAATCACCCAACAAAGTAAAAACATGAGTTAAATTATGTACCATCCTCAAATTATTAACAAATACTAATTTTGTACACAACATAATTGCAGATTTCCTTAGTGTACTCCACAATTTATTTATTTTTATTTCAAAATCTAAATACAGGTGTCAATTTTTAATTAGTAATTATTGTTCTGCTTATGTTTTTCTAGCGATTAAAAAAAATTTGTATACGAAAAATATATAAAATTATTCTATTGACTATTGTTATTATATTGAGTACTTATTGTTATCCCTAATTACCTCATATTTTTCAAACATAAACTTTGTGGATTTGAAGTACTGTATTGTTATTTTCAAATGTGCGTTGGATAAAAAAAATTAATTATTGGGAAGTAATAATATATATATATTTAAGTATAAGTATTTGTATTAGGTATTTGTTATTATATAGATATGTATTATATTTGATGATTTTATTTTTCTATATGTTTATTAATGTAATTATTTTTGCACCATTATCCCGCAACTTTATTATCTAAATCTATACCCTAAGGTTGCCTGGAAGAAATTGCTACCTTAGCAATAAGGCCGCCTGTATGTACACTATCTTTCCGGTATTTTCTTCCTTGTATTTCCTTGTGTGCAATAAAGTATAAAAAAATATTTTGATACGAAATATTACAATAATCCTTTTCTTAATCTTTCAACAGACGAACCGCTAAGGGAAGACGATGGCTACATGTTTCGTACGCCTGTACTACGGAAGCGATGGTTTGTGGTAGGGGTTTTATCAATCCGGGTAATGACAACTGCGTCTGATGGCAGTTCAATGCCACCAAACTCGAGTGATGGAAATGTTTCGGGATCTGAGGCGGATGCTCATAGCAAATATTTCGAGATCGACCGCGATGTATGTCGGACGTTGAACGAACAAAAAAGTATCGTTGACAGCGGCACCACAAACATACGGCTGCCTGATGAACTATTTAGACGGGTACGTGTTTTAAGTTTTAACGATTTTAACACGAATAATTCATGTACCTAAATCCGAAAGATTTGAATCTGACGGGCTCTTGTTACTCCAGCAGATACATCAAATGATAATTACCGATATTAGTTAGTATTGCTCACCTCATAAATCGTCTACAACTGGTCTATTCAAATACTTGTTATTGAAACTAAAATAGAAAACATTTCAACTATTTCTTTCAAAACCATCAAATGAGACAGTACTAACACCAATATTTTTTGTACACGTGACCGAGTATAAGTTTTATAATAACAACTTGTTATTAAACTTGATGACGATTTAATTGGCGTAGTTGATAGTGAGCGTAGCTTATTTATTTATATACTAGCGGCTGCCCGCAACTACGTCTGCGTAGAATAGGCTGAAGGCGTAACATTCAGACAGAAAGACACGTTTACATAAAAATATGTATATAAATTATAGCCTATGTGATATTCTGATGTATAAGCTATGTTATTCTAAAGTTTCATTAAAATCCGTTAAAATCCGTATTTGCGCGAAAGAGTAACAAACATCCATCCACACATACAAACTTTCGCGTTTATAATATTAGTAAGGATACTTTAATGAACACCATAAAACACGAAAGGAAATTTTACAGAAATAAAAACTTGTGTGTAAAAAACCATAAGGCGGTCTTATCGCTAAGGAGCGATCTCTTCCAGACAACCTGCTTTTGCATCAGAATGGGTTCGACCCCCACTACTGGAAAAATATTGTGTAATGAACATAGTGTTTTTCTAGTGTCTGGGTGTATATGCATATAATACTCCCAGTCACACATTATAGAATATGCATATATTTCCATAAGAAATGTTTTTAAGTATGTTTATATAAGTTACCTAGTACCCATAGTACAAGCTTTGCTTATTTTGGGACATGATAACGACGTGTAAAAATGTCCCGAAATACTTATTTATCATTTATTTATTTATTTATGTTGCCAACTTGTAGTCATTACTCTTTTTGTGGGGAGGTTTTCAGTTAGTAGATGGTTCACCTGATGTTAAGTGATTACTGCCACCCATAGATATCATTACCGCCAGAACAGTGGCAGATGTCTTGCCAACAGGAATCCCTACCAACAACAGCCATAGATAAGTGTGGTCCATTTTGTATTTGGTTGTAAGGATACTTTTGCAATACAATTACAGGTGGTGAATGAATTTAAAAGTGCCGCGCAGAAAAGCAACGTCTTGATATTAGACGAGTTTTGGTACCATGGTGAAGTAAGTGTAACTATTTATTTATTTAATTGTAATAAAAAAAAATTGTGTGCTTATTTCTGTAAGCACGTAAGAAGTTCATGGGATTTCAAAAAATAAGGAGTTTCTCAATTCAATGTATGTTTTTGAGGCTCGGAGTGCGCGCGCATATTAAAAATTTTACTCTCAAAATAACTTCAAAAAACATCAATTGGCGATGGGTATGTATGTTAAAGTCAATGTAATAATTTTGTTCTGGGTACAGAACCGTTAAGGTCTAACAGTTGTCGTAATGAAACCTACATTCGCCTATTTTTAATAATTGGAGGCTCAAAAGTCGCATGCTATATATTCTAGCTGTATATGTAAAATGATATTTAAAAAAAAAAACTGATTATGAAGAAATGCTTTTGGAGTTGGTTTGAATTGACTACCTGTGCTGCCGTAATGTTCTGAAGCTATATGTACTGCCGTCGAGTTTAATGACAACGGAGATATTGCACTGATAAAATCAGCGAAACAACAATAATCAAGTGGATACCATCCCTTGCAAACCTTGTTTGAGGATACAGAACAATTGAGCGCTCGTAGTTTCTGCAGACAGAGTAAGAACAGAATGCTAATGCCCATTCCTCACTACACGAGATTATAAATGCAGCGTAGTTAAAAAAGGAAGGATAGTGGGTATTTTTTTTTATGTGAAAAGTTGCCAAACGAGCAGACTGCTCACCTGATGGTAAGTGAATACCGCCGCCCATGGACATCCGCCACACCCGAGGGTTACAGATGCGTTGACAACCTTCTGAATATTGGGCTCCGGCTACCTCACTCACCAGACGAAACGCGAAAGTATTTGTCATACTTCCACTTTACGCAATTGCAATAATTGTTATCTGGCGTGCCTACTAATCGTGATGCAAATAACGATATTCGTAAAAAACAGCTTGCGATAACTTCCTCTTCATTTCCAGGCCGCTTGTTGGCCAGAACCACAAGTATGGTCGCTTCCTTGGCTGGCGATAGATTTGCTGGATGGTGACGCGGAAAATCAATATTTCACACTAGAAATTCCTCCTCAGGTAAGAAATAATACTGTCCACAAGTTTAGTTTACATAAAGGGTAAACAGAGAACCACTACACAGTACAACAATGGTATCGCAATATTAGCATTCTATTTAGTAATGATTTCTCGAGTTTACGAGAGTTATTTTTATGATTGTGTAATTAAATATTGCCAAATGTCCCTAATTCCTAAATAAATAAATATATAAATATTTTTAGGACACATTTTTACACAGCGTTCTCTAGTCCCAAACTAAGCAACGCTTGTATTATGGGTAGGTACCAGATAAATGATAAACATACTTAAACATACTTTTCTTTTGTAAACAAATACATATTATACATATATAAACACTGTCAATGACGACCCGAATGCCTTCTGCGTCAGAGGGTGTGGGTTCGATCCCCACTACTGGAAAAATATTGTGTGATGAACATAGTGTTTTTCCAGTGTCTGGGTGTTTATATATCTATAATATGTATTTATTTACAAAAGAAAAGTATGTTTAAGTATGTTTATCAGTTTTCTAGTATCCATAGTACAAGCTTTGCTTAGTTTGGGACTAGAGGACGTAGTGTAAAAATGTGTCCTAAATATTTATTTATATATAAACACTTAGACACTCGAAAAACAAAATGTTTACAAAAAGAACAATCTATGGTACGCTGTCTACAATAAAGAACAATCTATGGTAATGATATAGCATTACAACGTGATTAAAACTTTACAACCCAAAGAATTTCTTTTAATGTTGCCTTGGCCGTGAATGGTATAATATTGGTCATTTAGGTAAAGTAATGAAATTATAGTACGTTTTCGTACTATCCTTAGATATGGATAGTATATAGTAAGAAGTATGAAATTATAGTGCAAATACTATAATTATAGTACAAAATCCTACACTGTGCGTGCGTTCCGAAAATTATTTTTCTATGTGTTCAGATTGACAAATTCTCTAGAAATAATTTATATGACAGGCAAAACAACGTTTGCAGAGTCAGCTAGTGTTATTATAACATTACAACCAGCTAAGGATTAACTTGATTACTATCCGTATTAAAGTTAATCCAAGGTAATGATGAGTAATGTTAACTATTATATTTATGATATTAATCATTTATCATAAGAACGTTGGAAATTGAAAGACACGATTGAACGCTACCAAATCATTGAAATAGTTTTATTTAACGATGCTTAGTATTCGCGTAGAACTTTTTTTTTCACTACTAGATCGTTATTAACGATGTATTCGTTCTTAGTATTCGTGTAGAACTTTTTTTTCACTACTAGATCGTTATGAGGTACGTTATAGTCTTATTTGTGATCTAAAACGTTTTCAGAACTACATGCGGGTGGTGTCGGCCCGCAACAGTACTGGCGGAAGCGAAACGTTCTCAGAGTTTTGCTACAAGTTGGGACTAGAAGCGGGTGGTACGGAGACTGTGCTCGGGTACACAGCGATGGAGGGATTCGAGGTGATTGAAAACTACTTTTTATTTTTATTTTAAAATAGTATAAAGCTGGGCCAGTGTTCTGCTACTATATCAAATGCAAAACCTTCTGTGAGTATCGGAACGTTGCCTACGCTATTCAAGTTATAAGTGACATATTGAATGTCTTGGCAAAATATTTATTAGTACATATTATATTCATTTATGGCACAATAATCACAAATTACCAATTACATAATGGAGTTGCAACTTTATTTTATATACATGAAATGAAAAATGTGTATAAATATTGGCCAAAACATACGAGTCAGAGATAGCTCAGTTTACGACTTTGGTTTATTTAACAGATTTTACCTTCCTTTTATCATATCATTGACTATGTTTGTTGGTTTTGCTTTTTAATTACTTTTTTTTTTCTTTTCGAACCTGATTGTATCGCGAAAGGGAACGAGCCTCATCACTCCCGTTGCCTCTGCCAATGTATCCGCCACTTCTACTGGTGGAGAGGTCTTGCTTGTTTCTCTGAACCACTGGAAACCGCCAGCGACGTCCTGAAAAATCACGTCGAACATTCACCGTAGTTTAAACAGACCCTTGTAAAAATAGTGTTCTTGACCGTATCGCTGTACTTGTTGCAAGGCGTAGCATCTACTACCCGTTATAAAAACATGATAACAAAATCCTAACCTTAAACTTTTTTTAGGATATAAATTATGTGTCCTTTTATCGAATCTGTAAATAATCGGAGATAAGTATTGCATTCGGTACAACATAGCTTGGTACCAGTAGTTACAATAATCTATCCCTTCTTAGTTTTTTTTTTATTTAAGTTAATATTTTTTTAGGCTTAATTTTTCTATAAATATATAAGAAAGAATTTTTTTATAATGTATAGGCAAAAGGAATTTGACATTCTTCTAAGAGGTTATGGACATTCTACGTATCTTATTCGACTCGGCTAATCTTGCAGATTTTTAGCTTTTTTTTTATGTTGCAAAGTGACAAACGAGCTGGCGGTTCGCCTGATGTTAAGTGATAACCACCACCCATGGACATTTGCAACACCCGTAGGGATGCATATACGTTGCCACATTTAAATAAAGCGGGCCTCGGCTACCTCACTTACCAGACGAAACGCAGAAGTGTAACACTTAGAAGTGTTACACTTGAAGTGTTACACTTAGAAGTGTTACACTTCTGCGTTTGCTTTACTGCGAGTACGTGGTACTTACCCGGTCGGACCTGCCCATTCGTGCAATAGTGGAATCGAACCCACGTCTTCGGCTTTCGCGGCCTGGATTAATATTTAATCTTAAGTGAGGAGATTGGCGCTATGAAAATTTAAATTACATAAAATATAGTTCAGCACTCAAGTAACAGGCAAGCCCTTATAAAGAAAACGGTTTTCAGGTGTTATTCAATAGATCCGCCGGCTGGATCGGTTGGAAGAGCTCGAATTGTGGCCCTAGTCCAAGGATCAGCGGGCCACACAATACTTCGGTGTCGTTGCTGATACAGTGCAAGCTCATTGAGCCTGTCTCCGATGTGTCCATATCAATAAAGGCAGCGCAATGGACCCTCTTTGTCATATCAATGATAGCTTTAGGCGTTCTAGTTTATTTGCTCGCGCCATGTGTAAAGATGATGCTAGCGAAACCATTACCCAGAACCCAACAGATTTCTTTGTCGCAGGCGGCTTTGGTGGACCAAGAAGGAACCTAGGTTACTCCACCGATTTTTTCACGCGAGAAGCCATCTTCTTTGGCATATCGATAATTCTTTTAAAGTAATGAGAAATTGATTACAAATTGTTATGATCATTTAGTAAGACTAAATTAGCATTAATAATCGATTGATATCAAACGAATTATTTATCTACTATTTATTAAAAACTTTAAACACGCATGACACCATATCAGACACACACCTAATGTAGCCTGTAGACTGTAAACTTTGCATCGGAAATGTTATTTTAAAGAATGACTTTGTTTTTTTTTTTTTTATTAAGTATAAGTTTGACATTGGAGGTAATATAAGAATCTTAGTCTCAAAGTTATAAGTTATAAAAATAAAAACAAGGTTACAAAATCTTTTATTCAAAATATTTTCATAGGTACTTACTGTTTTGTGAAATCTAAACATGGAAGAAAATTGGTGCTTCTAAATGTGAACTCTGTAAATAATATTAAATTGGTAACTTTGTGTTAAGTTAAATCCCTACCTTGACAGCTATCTTAAAGATTTTAGGGTTTGTTTTGTTTGTTTGTGTGTTTTTGTGTTTCGAAAAGGCGCTTGTGTGTGCGGTATTTGACTAATGTTTAACATTTGCCAACGATCAGATTTACTTTTCCTAGTATTATTTCACATTGACTGATTTATATCTTCCGTATTGTTTTAGTGTTGTATTTTTATTAAGGCTCTAGCTTCTGAGAAAAAGATCTTAAGTGTACTCTGAAAGAGAACCGTACTTCAGTCATGACTGATTGATGACATACAGTGATTTTGAAAAACTATTTAGTCATTTTTAGTTCCTTTAGGTAGCTGCGTAGATAGCAAACATGAAACGTTGCTATGTAAGAAGTGTTAAATATGTTTGGAGATTGATTTTACAGAATCTTCGTGATTATGAGTATTTTTTATTTGAATTTAATATAGGTAGTTGAGGGTCTTCGCATGTAGTTAAGGATTTATTTTTAATCATTGTTATTGATCCAATACAGATATCGAATAAGTGGACTTGTCAGATCTTTCATTGAATAAAATACTGCGTAGCGATTTATTCCAGTCAGTCAGATATTCAAGTACTTATTCCGGTTGGTGTTATATAAGTATAGACATAAACCTAACTTATTAACCGTTGTCATATTGTGGGTCAAGTAAATGATGTAATAGTAAATTACAAAATTAATTAAATTTAAGCCTGACCAATGTGGTGGTATAAAGTCATACGAATTTAATAATGCACTTAGCATGTAAGCGTTTAAAATATTATCTATGTATTAATTTACATACCGTTTTGAGTAGCTACGTTTTAACTTACCTCGTGTCTCCAGCTCATTTCGACATTTTAGCATTGTATAGAAATGAATAACAATTTTGCACGTCTTGCATTATCTCTGAACACTGGAATTTTTCATATTTGCACTTATTCAAAATACAGATACTTATTACCTTTTGATTTAACATTAATATTTATCAAACTTAAGTCAATCATTTTGAAAAAACTATTTCTTTATAACAAATATCGATTTAAAAAAGGTAAGTGATATATTTTCTATCTTAACACAGTTTCGTAAAATTTCATTAAAATATTTATTACCAAGACTTAGTAAGTATTTGTTACTCTTACTATTAGAACGTGATGCTATTGCCCTATACATAATCAGCAATTTCATTATCTTTAATGACTTCACTGTGTGTTACATTGTTATTTTTCTAAGATTTATGCGTGACAAACGCGACCAATTAGACGAAGGTATTAAATTGTAAATTTAACTGAAATAAAGTACTATTTGAAATAATACCACTATTGGGTGAAACGATGTTTCATTTTAAACCTAAATTGTAAAAAAAAAACAATTTGATATTTTTCCTATTTTTAATTAAGCGCCACGGAAAAAAATTTAATTAATTCGATATACATAAATATATACGTGGATATCGAATTAATTAAAATTACTATAAATTTGTTTTAGTAACGACTTGAATTCATCACATTTTCATCGATTTGATCTTGTCTTAAATGATCGGTTTGCTTATAGAATAGAGAAATTTACGAGGAGCTCTTTTTCACTGTCAGTGCCCCACACAGCTGCTTCAGCTGTTGCACATTTGGGCAGGTTCATATGGGGAAGTATTATGACCTCAGAAGGCCGGTGTAAAGTGTTAGTGTAGTGTAGTAAATAGTTTTCATGTTTTGTCTGGTGAGTGAGTTAGCAGAACCCACTCTAAATAAAGGTGGCGATGTATTTGCAACGTGAAGTTGTGTTGCCAGTTGTCGACGTGTATACGACATAGGTATCTACATAAAAAGTTTTGTTTAGCAACGAGCACAGTCATTTTCTGATGGTCTAATTTATCCTTTATAGATGGATGCAGACCAATGATGTAGTAGATATGTTTTGTAATTTTTCGATACTTATGCAAAAGTTTTGTTTCTAAAGGTTCCGAGTAAAGTCTTTACGTGTTTTGTACGTTTGAAGTTGGTAGTAAAAACTCTGGTACTATTGGCATCTGTATACTGACTGGTTTAAGTACTATTGAAATTAAAAAAAGAAAATAAATTGCACGTTCCATTTTTAATTGTTTTTCAGTTCACCAAAATTAGGGAACGTAAAATAGGGGAAGATACATTTTGAGGTTTTATTACAAAAAAGGGAAAAATGCTACAAACCGCGAAAAGTATTTGGGACGTTTATGGACCTCATGCACTGTCAATATTTAAGAGTGACACAAAATTGGATCAGGGTTTTGCCGCTCGGTAATTATGACGTCAAAGCTACAGCTCGTTCTGAACGCCCTGTTACGGAAGTCGATGCTATTATAATAATGTCATCAAAATATAATGCATCGGAATATATAACAATAATACAGTAACGCACTGGAATGGCATTAAGGTCAATGTTCACTTCAAAACAGCCCGAGTAAGATCCATTATGGTTGGGAATGTATTTATTTTCATGACATTAAAATCCATTATAACGATTCTTTGACAAACGATACAGACAAACCATAATAATTATGATTACCATAGACTAAAGCTGACAAGTGCATGTTTTCCAATGAGAACACCAAAAAAACAACAATGTTTTAGGTATAAAAATAAGTTTACAGTGGTAGGGCCACGCAGCAGCCTCGGCTGTTGCACGAATGGGCAGGCTCGTCCGGGTAAGTACCACGACCTCACAGAAGTCCGGTGTAGAGTGGAAGTATAATGCTTTCGCGTTTCGTCTGGTGAGTGACGTAGCCGGAGCCCAATTTTCAAAAGGTTGTCAACGCATCTGCAACCCTCGGGTGTAGCAGATGTCAATGAGCGGCGGTATTCACTTAACATCAGGTGAGCCGTCTGCCCGTTTGGCAACTTTTCACATTTAAAAAAATCTTGTTGAGGAGTTCTAGAAGTTATGGCGTACGGTCATAAAAATATCATTGAGAAATAATATACTAAGGTGCCTAATTATTTATAGCGGATTAACATTTCTGTCGAGTTGCCAATATAAATAAGGCGGATCTTGTAGTATCAGAAGCCCAGACGCTTTAAAATCAAAAATAGTACAATTTAAGAACAGATTGGCATCGGTTTCATGTTAGTAGGGTGGGGACAGGCTCTGTCAACTTTTGCTACAATTATTTCCATAGCTAATTACGTAAATGGCATGATTTTGTTTTTATTTAACCGATGTTTTTTTTGCTTTCAGTCTGTACTTTATTAAAGTTTCATGGAAAGACGAAGAGAAAGGTCTCTAGGAAACCTAAAAAAATTGGTCATGATAGATGCCCCATAAAATTATAGTAATAATAAGAAATAGTTAAATAATTCAATAAACGAAAGTTCTAATAATTCAATCAAAACATTTAAAAATACTTCACTTAACCGTTAATGGTACGGTACTCGTATGAATTGATCAAGAACTGGATGCTGCGAGATTTTTTTTTATTCCAAGCCGCCAATATTGAACGGAAATGAAGTGTTAGTTAAATTTGCAGTGACGGCGTTCAGCAGTCGATACTTACATTTAATTTCAAATCCATTAGAAACAGTAATTTCCTTAGACTTGCCGGCTTGACACAATTTCCTTTAGTAAATGGTTTCCTTATTTTTATGAATAACAAATTTATCAATAGCAGGAATAGATTCAGGGATTCTATGCTGTTGGTTGTTTAGAAATCGGCGTCAGTTTAGGGCGTCAATGGGTGCGTTAAAAATGAATTGTTAATATGAAATAGCAATGGTGACATCTTTCGTTCGAATTATCGTTTTATATAGTGATATTTGCAATTGTTTGTGTGCTGTAAAGGACACGACAATACAGAAGCCAAGTGCGCAATTTACCTAGATAAAATACGTTGGGATTTTTTTCGGTGTGACAATCAACCGTTTACCTTAATGGTTAATCATGTATATTCCATGGGATTGTATGAAAAAAACAGTAATTAATATATCTTCTTCTATATATTAATACGTGAAGCAAAAACTTTGCCCCTTTTTACGAGAATTGCGCGGACGGGGAGGACTGTGAAACTGTCTGCACTTATAGGTAGTAGGTTATTAAATCAAAGAAACATTACATACACTACCATGTATTTGACACAAACACACACACACACGCACGCACGCACGCACGCACGCACGCACGCACGCACGCACGCACGCACGCACGCACGCACGCACGCACGCACGCACTCACACACACACGCACGCACGCACGCATATTATACACTCTTGTTTATTGTTAAAGTCTGTGGTCAATTTGAGAATAGATTAATACTGTTCAAACTTATAATTTAAATTAATTGTGGTCGACAATTGGGCGAACACTAGTGTTGGCGCTGGCAACACTGTATACTGGATATGACGTTATCTACTCGAGCCAAGGGACACATGGTCGCATGGAGCAGCGGTCACTTGGATTTCGGCTACGTTCCCGGACGGTGATATAACCACTAGTGCTACTTGTCGTTATAATAGTTGTTAATATTCAAGTTCAGTAATAGTTAAA